GGATTTACATCTCAAACTTAAATTTGTCCTGGTGTAAAAAGCCAGTCATTAGAGATTTCTATAGAAAACCCAAACAAGTTTTTGGCCACTTTACACATTAAAACAATAACCTACGATAGCCAAATTATTTTAGCGGTAACCAAATTATGAAAAGTTGCTTGACATAATTGATACAGAAAGTTCACCAGTTTAAAACTTGAAACAAACCGGTTACCAATCAGGTAACTTCAGTTTTGTTAAATGTACTTCCAAATTACTTTATACAGAGAATCAACATCTCATCATTAACAGTTCAAACTAAAACTTTAAGAAGAGCATGCTTACCCAAGTTTGAAGGCCAGCTTCTTTACCTTGAGCAGGATGTGTTGGACCTGGGTGATGCTTCCAGGCAAAGGTTTCCCCAGAGCCCAAGGCCATCGCCAGGGGGCCCCACACTGTAGCTGCTGCCCATCCTTCCTCCTTCCTTTCCCAGGTGGGGGAGGGTGAAATCAAAGGTGAGGGGTAAAGGGGTGAAACTCTCTTCTCCTATTAGAGAGGTTAACAGATACCCTCTTGCCTCAAGGGAAGGGAGTGGCCAGGGTTGTAAGGAGGAGTTTCAAAATAATCACAAAACCTCCAGAATCTGCCAATTTTCAGGTGTTCTAACTTTCCCTGTAACCTCCATGAAGGAGGATTCATAATATGACCCTCTAGGTCCTCGAGTGTAGCCTTTGACTGAATCTAGGTTTCCCACCTTTGGTTAACTTTCCTAGATTTTACTAATTTTACCATCTTGCTTGTTATTTTTTTATAACAAAAGGGTATTCCATCATAATCATATACTACAACTTGTTCAGCCATTCCCCAATTAATGGGCATCCCCTCAATTTCCAATTTATTGCCCCCACAAAAAGAGCTACTATAAATATTTTTGTACATGTAGGATGTTATCTTTTTTTTTTTTTTGCTCTTTTTGGGGGTACAGACCTAGTGTATTGCTGGGCCACAGGGTGTACACAGTTTTATAGCCCTTTTGACATAGTTCCAAATTGTCCTCCAGAATGGCTGGACCAGTTCACAACTTCACTAGTGGTGTATTAGTGTTACTACTTTTCCATATCCCATCCAGCATTTGTTATTTTCCTTTTCTGTCTTGTTAGCTAATCTGACAGGTGTGAGGTGGCACTTCAAAGAGCAATAATTTTCTTGATTATGGAACACATCGATCCTTTACAAACTGTCTTCCATCTTTGCCACTATATTAAAAATAGCTTTCCCCAAGATCATTAATGACCAGCTCATCACTAAATCCAGTGATCTTTTTTTCTGTCCAGATTTTCTTTGCTTTCTCTATAGCATTTGATGCTGTGAACCACCTTTTCTTTTTATATCCTCTTTGTTCCATACCCACACCTTCTCCCTTGTGAATATTCTCATTATTATTTTCTTATCTCTCTGATTTTTTTCTCTGCTTCTTTTGCTGACTCCTTATCCTCCTCCTGCCCCTAAAATATAGATATTCCCAAAGATTGTCAGTGACCTTTTGTCTTCTTTCTGCCTTTTCATTCAGTTGTTGTTCTCTATTCCCATGGCTTCATTTACTACTTTTATGCAGGTGACCCTAGAACTGTCACCTTCTCCTAGAACTACAGTCCTGTATCTCAGTTTCCTGCTTTGGACATTTCCATCTGGATGGTCAACTAGCACCTCCTACACTGCATGTCCAAAACTGAGCTTAACATCATTCCCCCAAACCTGTTTCTCTCCCAATTTGCCATTTTCTTTTAATAGCACCATCAGCGTACTCCTAGTAACCCACATTTATAACCTTAAAGTCATCTTTTGTTCTCTTTCTCCATAATGTTGTTGTTGTTGTTGTTGTTTAGTTGTTTTTAGTCATATCTGACTCTTCATGACCCCATTTAGGGTTTTCTTGGTGAACATACCAGAGTGTTTTGCCATTTCCTTTTCCAGCTCATTTTACAGATGAGGAAACTGAGACAAACAGGTTTAAGTGATTTGCCCAGGGTCATACAGCTGGTAAGTATCTGAGGCCAGATTTGAATTCGAGAAGATGAGTCTTCCTGACTTAAGACCTGATGCTCTATCCACTACACCCCCTAGCTGCCACCATAACGTATCTCACATCTATTTGATCTTTTCCATTCTTGCTGCTTACATCATAGATTAGGCCTTTATCTCACTCTAATAGCCTCCCAACTGGCTGCCTTGTCTATAATTCAGAGATTCCCAACCTAAGGGTACATGTACCCTAAGCAGTATAAGAAGCTTGTCAAGGAGGTGGTACAGGAAATATTTGATTAAAAAAAATTATATTGTCCTATTGAAATTAACACAGTTCATTTCTTAGGTACATATATGTGGTAAACTCTAGTGTTTATTTCCTTTCATGTTGAATAGGTGGTTTGAGAAAGGGATGTGGGTTCCTAGTCTAGCCCTTACCTAATTCATCCGCCATATCCGTTTCTAAATGTTCCTTCTTAATACATGTCTCTCTGGTAGCTGCTCCTCTACATATATACCTGCTGTAGCTCTCCATTATCTGCCAAATAAAGTATCAACTCTTAATCCTAGAATTCAAGGTCATCAAGAACCTGGTTTCAATCTACACTTCCAACCTTATTTCATGTATTTGATATACTCAGCTCTCCAGCCAGATTGTATACCTCCCTTCTCCCTATCCTTGATCCATCCTGCTCCTCTTCCCTCTGCACATACTGTTCTTCTTGTCCGGAATGTACTGACCTGCTCTTCCTTGCCTTCCTTCCAGGTCTAACTCAGGTACCACCTCCTTCATGAAGCCTTCTGACTTTCTCTGTCCCAAACTGAAAGCGCGGCTGTATTGCATAGTGGGTAGAGCATTAGACCTTGAGTCAGAAATACCGGAGTTTGAATATGGCCTCAGTTACCAACCTCTTCTGTGCCCCATGGCTTACTGTGCTCAGCCTCGTTTTCCTTATCTGTAAAATAAGGATAACAATAGCTAACCTCTACCATACAGGGTTGCTGTGAGAATCAAATGATATATTATATGCACAGTACCTTTTAAACCTTAAAGCTCTATATAAATGTTAGCTGTTATGAATCCTCATGTTTCTCATAGCACTATGCCTGGATCTTTACTTTGTACTTACCATAGCTGTACACCTGTCTTTCCCCGGATTAGATTATAAATTTCTCAATGAGAGCAAGCTCTGTTTATTTTTGTATCCCTGGCATAATGACTCTCACACAATAGAAACATATAATAAAGGTCTGTTGAACTGCGTACTTAAAACTTTCTACCTGTTAGGAAGAACTGGGACTAGAAAGTTCAGTTGCTGTTTATTGGATCACATTTCCATTTAAAACTTAGATTTGACCTTCTGTGAAAGAAAAGTGGTGCAGTGAGTTAAAATTAACTCTTCCCTTGTCTTCCTCTTCCTCAGTCTCCCCCACACTACTTTAAATGTGTGTAACTTTAGAGCTTTAACAGTAAGTACATAATAAATACTTGTCAAATTGAATTAAGTGAGAGAGAGATGGAAGGACAGAGAGTATAGTGGTAAGAAAGTGAAATTTTGAAATTTGGGATCTGGAGAGATGTTTCAGTGAATTTCATGGATCTGGAATTAGTCCTGACTACCACTTATAACTGAGTGTCTGCCAATTTAAATATTCCTGATAGTGGTGAAGACTGTAGAAAGATTAGGATAGTGATGATAAAAAAATATAAAATATCTTTATTTGAATTAAATGAATTGTGTTAAGGACACAGTTATGGTCTACACAAGTTTTTACAAGCCAGATTTTGAGGGAAACATGAAGCCAGTATTTGAACTAACACTGTTTTAAAGAGAAATTTAGGAAGGTATTCCCTCTGCAAAACCATACACCCACACACCCACCCACCCACCCACACACACACACACACACACACACACACACACACACACACACACGGTTGCTCTGTGATAAATTTATGTTAGGACATGAACAGGAATCACACAGGATGAGAAAGCATTGATGACTTGTAATCTGCATTGTTGGAGAGATTATTCACGTTAGTGAGGTAGCAGATCTATTTGAATATTAGAGTATTTTTTAAAATATCTAACTCAGCCACTTATAGACAGTATCCATAGCACAATGCTTGGCACATAATAGGTGCTTAATAAATGTTTATTGATTGATTGATCTGTAGTTTGAGCAGTAACCACGCTGTCTACTCATGAATACTCATTTCATCATATCCTTACATCCTACATCTAAGAAAGAAACATGATGTGGGGAGAGAGAGATAAGAATAGTGACTGCTTTATTTATACTTAACTGGTACTTTGTGCATAAGAAGAACACTAAAAGACATTGAGGATACGAATGGCGGAAAAAAGAGAAAGGATGTTTGGTCAGTCTTGTAGCAAGACTGCTTTTTGCATTTAAGTACATCCAAGATTCTCGAGGACTAAGATCAAGTTCTCCTGCACATTGGATGACTGCTCTGAGAATAATTTATGAGAAAACATAGACAAAAGTCATTGGAGATGAGAAGACACTGGGGGGTTGTAATCTGCATCAGAATGGGGGGAAGCCCAAATTGTTAAAAATCAGGGATTTTCCAGAGCAAAAGGCAAGGAGATAAATTAGTATCTAGCTTAACCTCCTTGTCATGGTATGAGATAATCAGTTCATAATCATTAACTGAGCCCATTAGGTGTTGGGCAATGAGAACAAATAAAATAAGGAGCAGCATGATGAGAATAGAGTTAGAGGTGGAGTCAGGAAGGTCTGAATTAAAATAGTACTTAAGACATTTGTGAAACCCTGGGGGAAAAAATTTAACCACTCTGGGCCTCAATCTCTTCATCTATAAAATGAAAGGAATGGACTCAGTCTCTGAGGTTCTTTTCAGCTTTATGTCTTTGATGAAATCCTAGGGAAATGTGTGTTCAATTTGAGCTTTTTCTTAAACCAGATTTTCTTTGTGATGATTGTGGCCCATGACATTATTTTGAACACAGGAAGAACGTGCCTCACTGTCAAAGGAGCTCGCTTCCCTCCAGCAGCAGAAGGAGCAGCTAAAAGCTGAATTGGAAAAATACAAAGAATGTGATCCTGAAGTTATAGAAGAAATACGTAAGTTTGCTTCCTGGCTTGAGTGTGCTTAATGACTGCAGTGAATAGAGCCTTAAACCCTGAAGCCTTTTATAAGTAAATCAGTGAAAGAATTGTTGCTCTGTTTACTTTGATAGCTTCTGTCTCTTTTTGCTGATATTTTAAATGTTAAGCCAGGGCAAATTATGGTCCTACCCATGTAGCAAATACTTAATAAATCTTACTGCTAACTTTCGTAAAGTTTCAGGATACAAAATAAATCCACATAAATCATCAGCACTTCTATATATTACCACCAAAGTCCAGTAGCAAGAGATAGAGAAATTCCATTTAAAATAACTCTAGACAGTATAAAATACTTGGGAGTCTACCTGCCATGACAAACCCAGGAGCTATATGAACACAACTATAAAACACTTTTCACACAAATAAATTCAGATCTAACCTATTGGAAAAATATTAATTGCTCATGAGTAGGCCGAGCTAATATAATAAAAATGACAATTCTACCTAAACTAATCTATTTATTCAGTGCCATACTAATCAAGCTATCAAAAAATTATTTTATAGAGTTAGGAAAAAAATAACAAAATTCATCTGGAAGAACAGAAACTCGAGAATATCAAGGGAATCAATGAAAAAATGCAAAAGAAGCTAGTCTAGCCATACCAGATCTCAGACTGTGTTATAAAGCAATAATTATCCAAACAATCTGGTACCAACTAAGAAACAGAGTGGTAGATCAGTGGAATAGATTAGGTACAAATTACATCATAGTAAAAGACCATAGTAATCTAGTATATGTTAACCCAAAGATCCAAGCTTTTGGAACATAAACTCATTATTTGATGAAAACTGCTGGGAAAACTGGAAAGCAGTAAGGCAGAAACTAGGTATAGACCACCATCTCATACCATATACCAAGATAAGGTCAAAATGGGTACCGTGATTTATACATAAAGGGGGATACTATAAGCAAATTAAGAGAGCATGGAATAGTTTATCTGTCAGATTTATGGATAACGGTAGAATTTAGGATCAAAGAAGATATAGAGAGCATTACAAAATATAAAATAGATGATTTTGATTATATAAAATTAAAAAGTTTTTGCACAAACAAAACCAATGCAACCAAAATTATAAGGAAAGCAGAAAACTGGGGAAAGTTTTTTTTGCAATAAGTATCTCTGACAAACACCTCATTTCTCAAATATATAGAGCATGGCAAATTTAAATTTGTACACAGCAATAGCAATATTGTTTGATGAAGAACTGTGAATAACTTAGCTATTCTCAACAATACAATGATCCAACACAATCCCAAAGGACTAATGATGAAGCATACTATCTGCTTTCAGAGAAAGAACTGATATTGTTTGAATACAGACTGAAGCATGCTATTTTTCACTTTCTTTCGTTTTTTGTTTTATTCTAGACTTCTTGTACAAAATGACTAATATGGAACTGTTTTACATCATTGCACATGTATAACCTACATCTAATTTCTTACCATCTCAGAATTTGAAACTCAAAACTAAATAAAAAGGTTAAAAAATTGGAAAAAAAATGCTTATTGAATGCAAATAATGAATATAATGTATCACTTTGATCTGTAAACCTAAGTAAGGAGAAAAAAGAAATTATCTGATAGATTCTTAGATTTATGGGATAGGAAGGAATTGTTATAAAAGCTTAACCACTTAACTATAGAAAAAATTCCCAATTGTCCTGTATTAAAAGCATTTATTTCAGTATGTTCATTTGGTTGTACCACCCCTACTTCTGAACTTTCTCTGAAAATATACCAGATGCTTAGAATGAATCACTTAACCATTCAACCTCTCAAACCTCTTCCCTCCATTATTCAAACAACCCTTGAAATCTTATGTCCTTGATGAATCTACCTAGACTAATTAGAGGAAAGTTAAACTTTTTGCAAGCCTCACTTTGCCTATGAACAAAACTCTAATAGATGTATCCTCTTCCTACCCTGCCAAAATATATTAAATATTAGTGTAATGTAGAGACTTAATCAGGTCTCTTAACATGTGTATTAGAAGGTAGATTTTTGTGGGGTTTTTTTATTATTGTACAGATTTTTTTAATTTTAATTTTAATTTTTTAAAATTTTTTTTAGTTTTCATCACATGAGAAGGTTTTGTTCAATATTTTCATTATATATATAGGTGTGTGTATTTATACACATATACGTATATATGGGTTGTAAACTGTATTAGGTATATCACTCTTGGTAGCATACTCGGTAATTAAATGACAGGAACTCGGGAATTCAATGTCTCTGGAGGTAGTGGGGTTCCCTTCACTGGCCATCTTTAAGCAGAGCTTGGATTTTGGCTGGGTATGTCATGTGGGTGAGCGGTGGGTTCCTGTTCAAGTTACAGGTTGAGCAAGATAACTTCTGTGATGTTGCTCCAACAGTTCATTACTTCTTTCTTCACGCCCACCACTGCCCTTAGCATCTCTTCTCCCTGTTGAATGAGAAAATGAAACTGAGTTCTGTTCAATATTATCCCAGTTATATTTTTAACAACTTTTTTTTTTTTTGCAGAGGATTTAATGTTAGGAAAATATACCTTATAGAAATTCCTCCATTTTTATGGTACATTGGAGTTGTTTCAATGAATGTTGAAATGTTTAATAATAGCTGTTCACAGAAATTATAAGCATTTTGAAATCTGAGGGGGCAGAGAACACAAGATACAGGGTTAGACTTGACAAAAGGGTCATATAAGAGGCTAATTTATCACTGAGTATCTTGATTCTAGCAAGAGATCTGCTGCTACCATCAAGAGGGTATCATGATGGTACCATCAGAAGTCAGTAAGGGAAAGTATCAGAAGGAAGCCAGTAAGAAGCAGAAAATTGTGGGAAGCTGGCATATCTCCAAAGTTCTGCATCTTCCCCTTTGCATTAGTCTATCCTAATGCCAGTTAATTATGGTTATTACCAAAAAGCTAAAAACTCAAAGTTATGGTGTGTACCACAACTATATTTCTGGATTCTATGGTTCTGCCCTTGAGTATATATTATGTAAAAGACATTTAATAGTATTTGAGGGAATTAAAAACATTATCTTTCAGATGAACAAGATACAAGGCTGAAAATGTAATTTTTTTCATGTTTAGAGCACCTCATTATAAGGTAATGTGACTGTTAGAAAAACATTTTGAACTCTGTTTTCAGGATTATTCTAACTACAAATGGTAGGAGGAAAGCTTTGAGAGAATTTAGAAAGGTATTATTTAAAGAATAGATTTTTATACTACTATACCCAACAATTTCTTTGGAATAAAGTCGAATTGGCACTTGATAGCATATTAAATGGGTATAATTACTTTACATATTAAATACCATGGTTAGGTTGGATTAAGTCTGAAGGATTTCATTTATTTTCTTTTTAAATTTATTGATACCTTTATGTTGCCCAACAGATGCTGCCCAGTCAGCATTCAAACAAACCCCATTGTGAAAAATCAGTCTGTCTAAACAGTTAAGCAAATAACATCTAGTTGGATTGCTGTTAGTAGTACCTGTCACTTTCCCCTTTGGTATTTTACTGATCATTAACAGAAAGGAGGGTGTGTGCTTTAATTTTGTTGAGTAGCATGCTATCAATCTTATCCACTGTTTTGTTTTGTTTTTTTTGTTTAGTCCTTTTTCAGTTGTGTCCCACTCTTCGCGACACCATTTGGGATTTTCTTGGCAAATTTTTGGTTTGCCATTTCCTTCTCCAGCTCATTTTACAGATGAGGAAAGGGAAGTAAACAAGGTTAAGTGACTTGCCCAGGGTCACAGAGCTAGTAGGTGTCTGAGGCCAGATTTGAACTCAGGAACGTGCCCAGTGCTCTATCCACTGTGCCACCTAGCTGCCCTGTCCATTGTACTTGACCCAGGGTTTTTTTTGTTGTTGTTGTTGTTGTTTTTTGCCTCTTGTTCCTGTCTTTATTTACATTGTTAAAATCACTGTGTATATAGTTCTTTGGTCTCTGCTTTTGTTCCTTTAAGTTTTATCATGATTCTCTTCATATTTACCATTCTTATGGTGCAGTGACTTTCCATAGAGAGGTAACAATAAAGTGTGTGGATAAAGGGCCTGCCTCATTCAGAAAAATCTAGGTCTGACACATACTGGCTTTGTCACCCTGGGCAAGTTACTGTTAATGCTTCAAACAAATCTCTCTGGGTTATACATCTGCATTGGTAGAGGAAGTTTCTTCACTGGGAGTGCCTTTGCCACCAATCACAGAATTGGACCAAAAAAAAAAAACCCCTCCAAACTCAACTACTAGCCCAGATATTGAGTATATGTTTTGTTTCCAGCTTTCTTATCTCAGATAATGCTTCTTTGAAACTCTTTACACACATGATTCTTTTTTCTCTTTTTAAAAAACAATTAACAACTTTATTTTTAAATTTATTTTTAATATTAATTTTTAAAAATTTTAAGTTCAAAATTTTCCCCCTTCCAAACCCTCCCCTACCTATTGAGAAGGCAAGCAATATGATATTAATTATGCATGTGAAATCAGGCAAAACATATTTCCCTATTAGCCATATTGCAAAAAAAAAAAAACCCAAGGGAAAAAAGTATACTTTAATTTGCACTCAAAGTTCATCAGTTCTCTCTCTGGAGGTGGATAGCATTTTCCATCATGAGTCCTTTAGAATTGTCTTTGATCATTGTCTGGATCAAGACTAGTCAAATCTTTCACAGTTGATTATCATTACAGTATTGCTGTTGCTGTATACAGTGTTCCCCTGGTTCTGCTCACTTCACTTTGCATCAGTCCATGTAAATCTTTCCAGATTTTTCAGCAACCATACTGCTCGTTATTTTTTGTAGCACAGTAGTATTCTGTCATAATCATATACCACAAGGGGGCAGCTAGGTGGCACAGTGGATAGAGCACTGGCCCTGGAATCAGGAGGACCTGAGTTCAAATCCAGCCTCAGACACTTGACACTTGACACTTACTAGCTCTGTGACCCTGGGCAAGCCA